AAATTTCCGCCTGTCTCTTGGATTCAAATTGGCTGTGCCACTCAGCATGGATTTTCCAAAAAATGAACTGAAATATTACTGAAAATGCAGAGATGCCAACTTGTACGATTTAGGCGTAATTTTTACTATTTGTTAGTCCGTTTACGACTGTACGATCCAGACTAAGATTTTTACAATTTCCGACTCCAAGGTACAAAACCATACAGTAGTGTATAAACTCTACGTACGCTACCGGTAGCACGGAGCCGGCCTCATAATGCATGTCAGAAATGTGTCGCTGGCATCCCGCTGCATGAGTACCTATAGAAACCAGCATGGCTGAATCATTTGTTCGCCCCGATTAACGCTATGATGAACAGGGGGCAAGTAGGCACAATCGCAACGTGATTGTGTATGTCCATATGCGGCTGTACATGTACCGAAATTGCACACACGTGTGTCGAAAATCATGATCATGCTAAAGTTGACCAGAGTGGAGGACTGTCGAGGATTTGATTCTTGGATATTTGGTGACCAACTGGACTTGTTTTGCACCGTGGCAACAAGTGAGCAAAGGACGAATACACTACAAAAATGGGCCTTTATTGCAAAGCCTTGTCGTGGAGAAGCTTACGTGTTTTGTAAAGCATTTGACATGATAACTGTGACATGATAAATACTGCCAACGCTGGATCTTACAACACTGAGAAGCACATTAGTTACGCTAAGAGAAAATAGCGCTGCTTCTGATTAAATAGGGTCAGTAGGTAAGGATTTTTCGACATTTTTGTGGTGCTAATTGAATGGGATGAAAGTTGCCAAAAATTGCCCCAAAAGTGATTAAAATAAAAACTTACCAGAATTAATGTGGAAATATAATCAACAATTAATTACAATTCACACTTGCACAATGTTAGTAAGTTAAATACAAGTGTTTTGACCTGAAAAGAAGTTGTTGACAGGTGTTGGTTTTGAAAGAAAAGACGACAGGATTTTTAAAACTTTTTTTTTCTTATTTGCTGATGAAAATTTTTAGGGTCACACCAAAAAATTAGGGTCAGTCGGGAAACCAGAACTTGAAGTGCAAAAGAATTAGACTTTTTCACTTTGAAAATTTGGTATCTCTGATTAAATGTACCAATTCGATCGTATTTCAAGCATCAGAAAGCATTGAGAACTGCACTCACTATGCTTTGTAATCCAAAAATTTACCCTGCACTAAAATGGTCCTAGCTAGAACACTGAAAGGCACGGTTTGGAGTTAAAACTTTCATGATATACGTGTGTTCATGCAACAGATTTTGTCAAAATATGGAAATATGTAGAATTTTAGACAGAACAGTCAACTTAAAAACCATTGAATCAAACGTAAAAAGTGAGTGGAACTTGACCTGGTTGTAAGGGAAGAAAACCCCTGTCATTATGCCCTCTGCTCACTGCACTCAATCGTACATTTAGATGCTATTTTCCAGGGTTAAGTTGGGTTGTTTTCAAGTAGACCCTGTGGCATCTCCCAATAGCATGTGTTTAGTAGTGTGCACACTTTCAGCATATCAATTGCATTCATGCATGGAAGCCAAACTAGACTATACGCCAGAGGTATGGTGAATCATTCTGATTATGAAAAAGAGCTGATATACATTGATCAAAAAATATTAATGGTGAATTGTCAAGTTCTTTCCTTGCCTTCCACCTCTGTGGTCTGGATTTGATTCCTGGCTCGGTCCACTTGTGGATTACATTTTCAGTCCCTACCTGAATCTGTTGGTTTTACCCAGATTATTCCACTGGGGTTTTTCTCCCGCCTGTAAACCTGTAACGGCTTCTTATTGTCTCCTCTCTA